CATCATCATCATCATCATCATCATCATCATCATCATCATCATCATCATCATCATCTTCGGGACACCGACGGGACACCGGCGGGACACCGCGGGCCACCGGCCCCCGGAAAGGAATCATTTGGTCAGGCCGCGCCTCAGCCGGAGGCAGGACACCGGCGGGACACCGCGCGCCACCAGCCCCCGGAAAGGAATCATTTGGTCCGGCCGCGCCTCAGCCGGAGGAGACATTCTTCTTGCCCGCCCACGCAGCTTCGCCTCGCCCGCACGCACGGCACGCACGAACACGAAACCGAAACCGATTTCCGGGTAGGGGGGCTCTCCGTTCCACTTCGATCTCACCCCCTCACCTCCGACTATTCACAAGGTGTCGCGCCCCTGCCTCCCTTCCAGGGAGGCCAATCCAGAGCGAGGAGGGTATCGGAACACCATATTACTCATAAGATGTCGTGCCCCTCCTACCCCTCCAGGAAGGCTCCGCCAGCGCGAGGAGGGTATCGGAGTACCATACGGTTTACCAAGCTTGGCACCCCTCCCGCCCCTCCAGGGAGGCCCCATCAGAGCAAGGAGACTTCGGAGCACCATTCGATTTACCACGTGTTCGCCCTGCTCTGTAAAAGAAAGGCTCCGCCAAAGCGAGGAGGGTCTCGCAATACCATGCGGTTTACAAAATCTTGCGCCCCTCCCCACCCTCCAGTGAGGCCCCGATCTCCCTCGATCGATCTCACAATCGATCTTACTCGATCTATCTCACAATTGATCTGACTATCGATCTCACAATCGGTATCACATTCGGTCTCACTATCGATCTCACTATCGATATCACAACCGCTCTCACAATCAACGTCATCATCATCATCATCATCATCATCATCATCATCATCAACAACAACAACAACATCAACATCAACATCATCATCACCAACATCATCATAATCGGGACACCGTCCTCATCATCAGCACTACCATCATCATCATCATCACGGTCATCAACATCATCGGGACACCACCATCGTCATCATCATCACCATCATCACAATCATCATCATCATCATCAGCAGCATCGGGACACAGTCATCGCCATCATCATCAGCAGCATCATCATCGGGACACCATCATAATCACCATCGTTATCATCATCATCATCATCATCATCATCATCATCATCATCATCATCATCATCATCATCATCATCATCATCGGGACACCATCATCATCATCTCATGCTGGTCATCGACATCATCAGCATCAACATCATCAACATCATCATCAGCATCATCATCATCGTCATCATCGGGGCACCATCATCATCATCGTTACCAACATCAGCATCAACATCATCATCATCACCATCGGGACGCCATCATCATCAACATCATCATCACCATCATAATAATCATCATCATCGGGACTCCATAATCATCATCAACCTCATCATCATCAACATCATCATCATCATTATCATCATCATCATCATCATCGGGACACAATCATAATCAACATCATCATCATCAACATCATCGGGACACCATCATCATCATATCATCATCATATCATCATCATCATCACCATCGTCCTCATATCATCATCAGCATCACCATCATCATCGTCATCATCATCAGCAGCATCATCATCAGCAGCATCATCATCATCATCATCAGCATCATCATCCTCATCCTCATCCTCATCCTCATCCTCATCCTCATCCTCATCATCATATCATCATCATCATCATCATCATCATCCTCATCATCGCGGGACACCGCGGGACACCGGCGGGACACCGCGGGGCACCGCAGGACACCGCGGGACACCGCGGGACACCGGCGGGACCCCGCGGGCCACCGCCGCCCGGAAGGGAATCATTTGGTCCGGCCGCGCCTCAGCCACACGGGACTTTCGCGGGACACCGGCGGGACACCGCGCGCCACCGGCCGCCCGGTGGAGAATCATTTGGTCCGGCCGCGCCTCAGCCACATGAGACTTTCTCTCGCCCGCCCACGCAGCTTCGCCTCGCCCGCACGCACGGCACGCACGAACACGAAACCGAAATCGATTTCCCGGTAGGGGGGCTCTCCGTTCCACTTCGATCTCACCCCCTCACCTCCGACGAATTACCAAGTGTTGCACCCCTCCCACCCCTCCAGGGAGCCCCTGTCAGAGCGAGGAGAGCATCGGAATTCCATACATACTATTTACAACAATTCCTGCCCCACCCACCCCTCAAGGGAGGCCCCGCCAGAGCGCGGAGAATATCGGAGTACTATATCGGAGTATCGGAGGGTCTCGGAATACCATGCTACTTGCAAGGCTTCCTGCCCCTCCCACCCCTCCAGGACGGCCCGGTCAGAGGTAGCGAAATACCATACTATTTACAAGGTGTCCTGCCCCTCCCATCCCTCCAGTGAGGCCTCGCCAGAGCGAGGAGAGCATCGGCATACCATACGATTCACAAGGTTTCGCGCCCTTTCCCACCCCTCCAGCGCGGCCCCACCAGAGCGAGGAGGGTATCGGAATACCATACTATGTACAAGTTGTCGTGCCCCACCCACTCCTCCAGGAAGGGTCTGCTGGAGCGCGGAGGGAATCGGAAAACAATACTATGTACAAGGTGTCGTGCCCAACCCACCACTCCAAGGAGGCCCCGCCATAGCGAGGAGGATTTCGGAACACCGCACTATTTACAATGTGACCGCCCTGATGTACAGAAGGAAGGAGGTGCGTCCTGAACAGCCATCCTCCCATTCCATGCAGCTTCCCCTCCTCGCCTTCGTCGGCACTTTCATGACAACGTATGGAAACCATGGGCTGCTTTTTCCTTACTGCTTTTGTGCCCCGCTGATCCCGCAAACCCCGTCACGTCCTTATGTGGAGAGCTCCCGCTGCATACTCCAAATCCATTAATTATTGAGAGTCCCTGGGTCAGGTTTTTTAAGGCGCCTTTTTTGTAATTGGGGGGGGGGTCCGGTTTATTAGAGCGCCTTCTTTGGATTGGAGCTCACGGGGTCCGGCTTGGCGCCCCGTCGGAGAAGGGGGTCCGGAATATCAGGTCGCACTTGGCGGGGGGTCCGGTCTGTAAGGGGGGGGTCGATGAATAAGGGATTTGGAGTAATGTCCTCATGTGGAGAACTCCCGTTGCATAATCTGCCTGGCCCAGGGCTGAATCTAAACGGTGTTGTTCGTTGTCGCTTTGTTTTCGTTTTCCCTCGCTCTTGTCTCGAATCCGCCTCCGCTGCAAAACGAAGCCGAGACGAAACGGCCCACGGCATCGCCCGAACACCGTGTGGGCCCGGCCCAAACCGCGCCCTCCGAGTGGAGCACTCCCGTGGCACGAAGTCCGCCCGGCCCTCGCCGGGGAGGGGGCCGCCCTCTGGGGCCCCGGGCCGACGCCCGCCCGGGGGAGCGGGCGGCGCTCGGGGGCGGCCGCGTGGGGCACGGGCGGGCGGCCAGCGGCGCCGCGTCCGGGCGGCAGCGATCGGCGGCGGGGCAGTCGGGCGGCCTCACAGCCTCAGGGTCGGGCACGTCCCCCCGCAGGCGGATCTTGGACGAGAGAGAAGAGATAGGCCCGAAGAGCCGAAACTGCTCGAGAGAATCGTACCCAGAATGTTCCTCCTGTAGAGGGACAGGCCCGACTGAATCGCAGCCCCCAGGGGAGAAGGAGAAGGAGAAGGAGGAAGAAGGAGGAAGGAGAGGAGGGATGAGGCGGAGGCGGAGGAGGCGGAGGCCGAAGCCTTGGCAACTGGTGACTGAGGGGGCTCGTCTCAACTGTCTTGCGAGCTCGGTGGCTGCTGGCGGCATCATCGGCATTGCAGGGGTCAGTCTACGGGTCCCTGCCGTTTTTGAGCCCTGTGGGCCCGAGGAGGAAGAGGAGAAGGGAGCGGGGAAGGGGAGGAAAAGGTGGGGCGATAAACGGGGGGGGCGAAGAAAGGTGCAACTCTCATGCATCTTCCGGGCCCCAGGGGGGCCCGTCTGGGGGCCTTCCGACCCCATCCAATTCCCCCCCCACCGGCCCGACCCAAAGCAGCATGAAGCCGCGGGGCGGAGGACACAGCAACGAAACTTTGCATAACCATCAACCTTCGGCGACCCGCGCGGAACTCCGAGGGAGTTCATCATGCGTGCTCCGCTCTGCGCCGCTCGAGAGGAGGGGCGAGCGCCCTGAGGCCCCCGGGAGCCCCCCCCCCTCCCGCCGGCTCGAACTCGGCGTCGCTGCAGTTGTAGATCGGGCACCTGCGCCCGGCGCGCCGGCGGGGCGCCGCGCGAGGGGCCACGGCTCGCGGCCCCGAGCGGCCAGGGTGGCAGAGCAGGAGGGGGGGCACGGGCACGGAGGACGAGGACGGCGGAGGGCGAGGAGAGGGAGGCGGGGGTGAGGACCAGGAGCGGGGTGGGGGGAGAAGCAGGAGAAGGACCAGCAGCACGTGGAGGAGGAGGAGGAGGAGGAGGAGGAGGACAGGCACAGAGGAAGGAAGGGAAAGGGGGACGGGCAAGGGAGCAGAGATGTAAAGGGAGGGGAAGGGAAGGGACGGAAAGCGAAGGGAGGGGAAGGCAGGGGGAAGGATGGGGGAAGGGAGGGGGAAGGGAGGAGAAAAGGAAGGTGAGGGTATCATGGAGCCATCTCCTCCATCCTTTCCTTCATCCCTCTTCCTTATGAATCCGCCGACCCTGTCGGCGTGTGCGAGGGGCTTCCTCGTCCGAATCGTCTTCGTTGTTCGGATTGACATCTGTGTGTTTTCGTTGTTCGGATCGTCATCGTTGTAGATTCGACATGAAGTGAACGGCATCATTTCCTCGCCGCCCCCCCTTCTTCCTTCCACCTTGTTTCTTTTTGGGCCGTACCCTCCTGCCGTCATGCCGTTGTAGATTCGAAGGGAAGCCCCTTCCCTTTGATCCCTTCCCCAGGGGGGGGGGGTCCGAGGGGGCCAGGGGAGGGTCCCGGGGGGGGTCCCGGGGCGGGGGTGGGGGGTGGGGTGGGGGGGCAGAATTGTTTTTCCTCGGGCGGCCTCGAAACCTCGAAAACACTCCAAATGAGGTCCGAATGCCCAAGATGGCCCCCGAGACGGCCCAAGAGTGCCCCGAGTCGCCCAAAGATCGGCCGAAGACGCCCAAGATAGCCCCAAGACCGTCCAAGAAGCCTCCAAGACGTCCCAGGCCCCCTCCAAGAGCACCCCCAAGAAAGGCCCAAGAGGCCACACTCATTACTTTTCCATCGGAAACTTGCATTTTAGCATATGCGACGTTTCGGCCTTCAGAATTCGTCTTGCCCTCGCGCCGCCCTCCCCCCTCTCGACGTCTTCTTCTTCCTCTTCTTCGTCTTCAGGGTCGGCGGCACCGGCCGTAAGGCCTTCGCAATAACTCCTCCCTGTCGCACCCCGAGACGTGTCGGTAGAGCGGGCCGGGCTTTTCGCCTGAGACTTCCTCACGATTCTCGATCCTGAAGCTTAGAACTTGCAACAGCTTCTCGGATGGATGGCGGGTGGTTGTCAAAATGGGGCTCTCTCATTAGCGCCGCGCACTTTCGTCCAAACAAATGTGCAAGAGCTTCAGGGATGGAGGGCGGGTCATTGTCAAATGTGTTCTCCGCCTTTGCGCCGCGAGCATTCGTTTTGAAAGATCGCGAGTGTTTCAATAATGACGGGCGGTTTGTTTCCAACATGTGGCTCTCGCATTAGGGCCGCGCACATTCGCTTTACCAACTTCCAGCAGTTTCAGAGATTATTACTGCTGACGTTCCAGAAATAATGTTTCCGCACGATTTAGGATTGTCAAGGCGCTACAGTAACGTTGACTTGCGATGTTGAAGTCCCAGGGATGGCTAACTATCTGGCACGACTCAGGATCGTCAGGACGCAACCGTAGCGTTGATTCGCAGAGTTGAAGTCCCAGGGATGGTGTTTTGGCATGGTTGAAGATTGTCAGACCGTTGTCTCCCATCGGGGCACTTTCCCCAGTGAAAGTGAATCCTTGTAGGGACCACTGATGGACCAGGAAACCAACGACGGTTGAAGATTGTCAGACGGTTGTCTTCCGTCGGGGTACTTTCCCCAGCGAAAACGAATCCTTGTAGGGACCACTGATGGACCAGGAAGCAAACGACTCCACCCCACCTGCGGCCCGACGTGGCTTCGCGCATACCAGCATATCCGGCGTGGCCTTTTGCGCAACCGTAGCGCTGATTCGCAGCGTTGAAGTCCCAGGGATGGTGCGTTGGCACGGTGGAGGGTCGTCAGACGGTTGTCTTCCATCGAGGCACTTCCCCCAGTGAAAAGGAATCCTTGTAGGGACCACTGATGGACCAGGAAGCAAACGACACAACCCACCTGCGGCCCGACGGGGCTTAGCGTATACCAGCAGATCTGGCGTCTGGCGTGGGTTTTTGCGTGGTATACGCTACGGCCCCCGATTGGCCGCAGCGCAACGTGGAGGACCGTAAGTGGGGTGGTGCCGATTGTCTTTGATGTCGAGAGTAAGAAAGATCTTTAGTCCTCCTCCTCCTCCTCCCTCCTCCTCCCTCCTCCTCCTCCTCCGTCTGCATTCCTTCCCCGCTCCTCTTCCCCCATCTCCCCCCCCCTCCACTTGGCGCCCGTGCGTGGCTCACTCCCTGCACTCTACCAGTTGCGTGCCGCCTTCTGCCAGCCCGCGGTTGCACGAAGTGCGCCTTCCCGAAAAAAACATCCGGCAGCTGCGCCCCCCCCGCCTCTTTCCGCCGCCGGGGAGGCGGGGGAGGGGAGCGGCGGCGAGCGCCCGACGCCCTCGTGGTGGCAGCACCAGTCCTTCTGCCCCTGGGACCAGCCTGCGGCGGCCGACAGCACAGGTCGTCGTCGTCGTCGCTCGTCGACGTCGCTCGTCGCTCGTCGTCGTCGTCGTCGTCGTCGTCGTCGTCGTCGTCGTCGTCAACGTCGTTGTCGTCGTCGCTGTCGCCGCCGTCGCCGTCGCCGTCGGCCGTCGTCAGGGAGGACGGGACAGGACAGGACATCCGCAGAAGGGGGTCAACGTCAACACACCTAGACTGGTGCCCTGCGCGCGTCTGGCAATATCCCCTGCAAATTGGTTGTGCAGCGGCCCTGACTTCTCACTGGGGCCGGTCGTCAGGGAGGGAGAGAAGGAGGAGGGAGGAGCGTGCAGGACGTCTTGCGCAGCACAATGTGCAGAGAGCGGGAGAGGGGGGAAGTCAGCAGGGAACCAGAGCTGGGCTTGAACAGGCCTCGGCCCCCCGACGGTGCAACGCTCCACGAAGTACGCCTCCACGGGTCTCACCTCTAGCCTCCTACAGTGGGGGCTCGGCCACAAGAAATCTCCGCAAGAAACCCAACCCTGAAATCCGCGGTTTGTTCAATGAAAATCCAAATTCGTCAATCGGAAATCGTCAAGATCTTATTGGGGGCCCATCGAAATCCAAGAAACCCAGGGCACCCTGGCAGAACCCAACTGGTTTCTTGGCACGCGCCCCCACTGTAGAACACTTGTAAGCTTGTCCTCCGCGTCGCTCCCCAGCTCGTGGGCCACGCAGGCCGCACAGCACGCCCAAGAGTAGCGAAGACAACACATGGCCCCTTCGCTTGTTCGTGTATGCTCCTGGCGGCAGAGCTGGCAATCGACCACCGCGGGCGCAGCATCCCCTTGCACCCGACGTAGCAGACGTCCACAGTTGTCCACAGGAGTCCGCAACACAACTGCCAGCGCGATGAATTGTAAGACCCCCTGCCGGAACTGCCTCTCGAGCCAGCTGGCGCTCGCCACATTCACGAACGGCGGCATACAATGGCACTCACGCTCATCAAATATACCCCTGTCCCAGGGGGCGGGTCGGCGTCGACGTCGCTGGGGCCTTGCACATCGCCGCTCTCCCCTGTGTCAGGCTTGGCCCGCCGCCCAAAACAGAGCGCGGCCACGAACACGCGCAATTGATCGAACAACCACCAGCCAGTGCCGGGAATAATCGAGTAGGGGATCGACTACAGAATCGATTTGCCCCAGACTTGATTTTCCTTGTCGAATCCACGGGCAATTCGTAGAACTCTCGCAGATCTACGATTGATTGACGTACTTTTGTTGAAGAGTCGGCGTGAAGATCGATTTTGGGGTGAATCAATTCTGTAGTCGATCCCCCAATCGAAATAAGCCGCCGAAGGAGGAAATACTCGGCACGAGATCGGCGTCCTCCTCCTCCTCCTCCTCCTCCTCCTCGTGCTCAACTCGGCGCCCTCCGCGGTGGCCGTCAGCGGCTCCATCCGCGGACACCGCGCTGCCGGCAATATTGCGTACGCCCGCGTCTGGCGCGGAGGGCGGAACCGATCAGCACAGGATTGTTGGTCCCGCTAATTGCGGCAGTGGACAAACCTCCCTCTAATAAACCTCCCCCCAGTGAAGACGGCCTGAGACCGAAGCCGACGGACCTGGACCCGCAAAAATGACGGCTGCGACGCCCTCCCGCGAACCGAAATCGGCCAATTCCTTAATCGACGTGTCAGGGCAGGAAGTCTATCAACCTCCGATACTTGCGCCGGGTATCTGAGGGAACACAGGGGGACGTGCCGCCCAAGGGGGCCCCCGACGTGCAGCGCCTCGTCCTAAGAACTCCTTGCAACAGAGGCCAGCGCACCCTCAGCCAGCGTGCTGTCATCTCTGGCGCGCGGACGAGCGCAAGTGCCTTGAGTAGAGGGCAGAAGACCACCCCGAGAATGACCACCCCGACACGCGAAGCCATTTAGCAAACGCACCGAAAGAAGGATTCAAACAGGGCAGGGCTGTTCAATAAACGCCCAGGGCCGTTCAGTAAAGGCCAGTTGTCGGGTCTGGGTGGTTTTTCCTGACCTGTAGACACATCTGGACGGCTGCTGCACACCTCCACTGGATGTTGTACGTCGGGGTCCTGGTGTTCTTTTTTGCCCCTCGGGGGGGGGGGGCACCCAGACCTGCCTCGAAGGCCAAACAAGAACAGCAGGACCCCGACGTGCAAAATCCAGTCGAGGTGTGCAGCAGCCGTCCAGATGGGTCGACAGGTCAGGGTGGTTTTGTCGTTCTGATTGAGCGCGCCGCGCAGCCGCCGCCGCCGCCGCACCGCGCACCAACCCACGGCGATGGGCGGCGCGCCGAAGCCGCGCCGCGCCAGGGGCACGGGCGCGACGGGCGGCCTCGGCGCTGGCAGCGCCGCGGCCCGGCAGCGTCGGCGGCGACGCTGAGGGCGCATGGTCCAGGGGCGGGCATTACACGCATTCGCCAGGGAGCCTTGTCGAAGGCATAGATCATCTGGGGCCCCTGGATACTCCAGATTTCGTAATAAAAAGGAGGGGGTCTGGACCCTCCAAGACAAGCCATTTCAGACCCCCCCTCGTGGGAGAACCCTCCAAAACATCGTCCCCAGACCACCCCAGGCCCTCCAAGATAGCCTGGAAGAGACCCCCGCCGAAATGAGACCCCCCTCCCTTTATTACGAAATCTGGAGTACACGTGGACTGCTCTCCCCTGGGCTGTTCGCCCCTGTCGTCGCCTCTGACGGCGAGCCAACCACAGAGTGAGGCGAGGACGGTCGGCGAAAGTGCGCGCGCGAGCACGGCGCGCCGCGGGCGCGCGCCCGATGCAGGCACCTGCACAACGCACGGGCGGGCACGGGAACCGCGCGGCGACGGCGCAAGCCTGCGCACATCGGCCGCGAGGCACCGGCGCGCACGCGGGGCGGGGTGGCGGCGCGACGTGCGCCCGCGCCTGGCCGTCGCCGCGTGCCACTGACAGCCGCGCGGAACGTGCGTGGCTGCACAGAGGTCAGGTCGTGCAGAACCGAGGGGAGGTCCCCTCTGCAGGCAGACGGCTGGCACACTCGCGCGAGTTCTGAATCATAGGCAACGGCACGCACCTCGTGAAACACCTTCGTGACCGATCGGCTGGAGACGCTCGGCGGCTAAGACTATCAAGAACCAGAGAGACGGGCCAACAAGTGCGAGATGTCCGGCCCTCAGAAGGACGCAAGCACTGCTCGGACGGTGAACTCTCCACCTGCACTTCCTGCACGTCGGTGTGCACTGCGAGCGCAGCGCTGCCATGCGATATCCCGATAAGGGCATCGGACATGGATGAGAGCAGCGCGTGGAACGCGGGCAGCAACACCAACCCAGTCAACAGTCTGATGGTCATGCGTATGCTGGATACGCAGGACAAACAATTCGTCACGACCTTTGTGATATCGAAGGCAAGAAAGCGCCAGGCTGCGGAAGGTAGAAGGCGCTCTGCGGACTGGCAAGCGTGAGGCATCGCCCATGCCAATTCCTACTGTTAGATGTCTCCAAAACGGCAAGGCGTTTTTTCTGCCGTTCGGAACTTGCATCACGTGTCGGTTCCGCTTTCCGCTACCGTACCCCGTGGCACGTTGAGGCGTGGCAGAATGCCAAGGGCTGGCTGGTAGAGTTTCTGCAACTTTCTAAGGCCCCCTCTTGTCGCCACGCTCAAGCGCAAGAGGCTCCAATACAGCCCTAGAGACCCATTACATGACCCCTAGCAGTGCTCGAAAAGGCCAAAGTCTGCGACCGGTGATTGATGTTTGAAAGATCTCGGCGTCTTCACTGCACCTGTTCGGGTCTCCCTGAGCTCCAGACGGTCTCAGAGGCCTCGAAGAGGGCTGCGAATGGCGCGATTATCCTCCATGGCGGCCTCAACACGACCTAAGGGGGCCCGTGGACTGCCCAGGGCGGCACCAAGAGAGAACAAAGCTGGCCCGAGAAGGCCTCCAGAGAGGCCCAAGACGGCTCCATGACGGCATCAACAAAGCCCTTAGACGGCAAACAGGGCCTCAAGACGGCCCAGGAGAGCCCCAGCACAGCCCAAGATGGCCCAAAGACGGCCCAAGAGGGCCCCGAGCGACCCCCATAACTGCCCCTCCGAGCACCAACACAGCCCCGAGGCGGCCCGACCGTGCCCCACGACAGCTCCTCGGGAAGTGGAGACGAGAAGCGTCCCACGTGACCGCCTCCCGTGCCAACCCCCCGAAGGGTCGGATGCAGTCTCCCTCCTCTTCGCCCCTCTCCTCGCCATCGCTCGGACGTCCCTTCCCTGTGCTTTTTTTCGATTTCGTGCGTGGCTTTTTCGCCAAATGATCAAGGATGCTCCTCGATGGTCCTCGCCGAAGGAAACATGCACACGTCCGAGCGATGCCAAGTCTCCCGTCCTCCCTCAAGGCAGCAGCCGTGGGCATGCGCGGCAGAGGGCGGGTCGGGCTCCGCCTACGTACTGGTCTCCGTCGGCGTCGTGAATGACCTGGGGGCATTCCTCATCCACCTCCTCCTGCTCATCCTTTTCTTCTTCCTCCTCCTCTTCCTCCTCCTCCTGCTCGTCCTGCTCTTCCTCATCCTCTTCCTCTTTCTCCTCCTCTTCCTCCTCCTGATCCTCCTCCTCATCCTCCTCTTCCTCCTTATGCTCCTCCTCCTCCTCCTCCTCCTCCTCCTCCTCCTCCTCTTCCTCTTCCTCTTCCTCCTCTGCCTCCTCTTCCACCTGCTCCTCCTCATGTTCCTGCTCCGTTTCCTCCCCCCTCACACACCATTATCCTTCTCCTCCACCTCCTCCTCCTCCTCCACCTGTTCATCCTCCACCTGTTCCTCATCTTGCTGCTATTCCTACTCCTCCTGCTCCTCATGCTCGTTACCATCCATTCCCCATCATTCCCCAAACAACGCGTGAACTTAGAGGTGTTCGTTTCTCTTCTGAGGAACTGGGTCTGTCTGTCGGTTTGGTGGCTATGTTGCCGCTTTTGCCGCCTCGTCGCCGCCTCGTCGCTGCCCGTCGTCTGGGCCCTGTGGGGCAACATATGTGGAGCAGCGTATATGGTGGAATGTGTGCGGTGCAGTAGACGTGGCACAACATATGATGGGCAATCGGCGTGGTGCAATCTAAGTTGCGCAATCTGCGTGGCCCATTATCTGTGGTCCAATCTGTGTGGTGCCATATGTGCTGGGCCGATGTGGTGCAATCGATGCTGTGCAACGGATGTGTCACAGTACATGCGGTGACATTCGTGGAGGTCACTGTATGTGGTGCGATGCAGGACGTGCAATACATGTGCGACAAGCTATGCGAAACTCACGATGTGGTGCAATACGTGCGGCACAACACATGTTGTCCAATCTGTGTGGCGCAATATATGTGGTGCAGGCTAAGTTGTGCGCCTCTGTTGTGCAATACCTACATAAATTCGCCGGCCCAACGGGCCAGAGGCGTGCTAAGGTCTCCGGTAACTGGTTAACAGTATCTCTAGTTCGCGCGCGCGGGGCGCCCCCTGGGGGTCCCCCGACGAAAAGTATCCCGGGCGATCCCCGACCGACCCCCGAGCGATCCCCGGGAGACTCCCCCAGAGCGCTCCAGGAGCGCTCCAGGAGCGCACCAACAGGGTTCCGAGACGTCCCCGAAACCCTCAAGACGGGTCCAGATGCCCCCAAGAAGCTCCCAAGATGGTACACAAGGGTTCCGAGATGCCACATGATCGCTCCAAGACGCCCAAGATGGCCCCCAGACGCCCCAAGAGGCCTCCAAGAGCACTCCCAAAAGGGCCCCAAGAAGCAAAATTCATAGCTTTTCCCTAGGTTTTTGAAAGATTTGGACGTCCCGAGATCTTTTCAAGGCGGGGACTCGGATGAACGAACGGCTGCGCGTCCTGGCGCTCAGCTGTGAGGCACCATCAACTCAAAGAGAAAAATGAGACAGAGCATGTGTGTCACGCATGCTAGAGAGGGTTCGGGGGGGCGGGGGACCAGAGAAGCTATGTGAAGCAAGAGAGCGGAGCCAAAGGGGCGACATAACGAAAACCCCTCTTGACTTCCTTCACGTGCAAGCACAAACCAGGACGTCCCGAGATCTTTTCAAGGCGGGGACTCGGATGAACGAACGGCTGCGCGTCCTGGCGCTCAGCTGTGAGGCACCATCAACCCAAGCCGTTCCCAAGAATGTTTACTGGGTGGGCGGGCAAGGGCGATTATATAAAGACGCGCGCCATTCACTCAAGAGGACTTTGGCAAGCTTCCTGTTGAGGGCTGGCGGATAGGCGGCAGCGATAGCGGTCCATTTCGCACCATTAGGGGCGTTGCCCTCAAGCACAATGTGTTGACGGCCAGACTTGTTGCAGGTTCCGTTGATCTGAGTGCACCGACGATCGAGACAGCTACTATCCTGGACATCTATGTTCAAACACAAAAATCTCGCCCGCTTGCGCCAACGAGCACCTTCCTGACATTGGTCGAGACATCTTACTTCGGCCCCCCGATCTATAAACCCCTGAACCTCTCTCGTGACAAAAACGCGTGAATTCACATGATGTTCGAGTATGCAGGGAACTTTGAATTTCTCGCAACATCTGATGATGGACAGCGCGGCGCGCATGGTCTTATTGCCAGACGCCAGGCGAGTAAGCTGCTTTGTACTCAAGAGATGTTGCGGGAGTCCCCAGGGCTGCGATGCCGAGCGGATGGCCCCCACACGGTCGGCAGCGGTGGTCCAGGGCCCACAGGGCGGCGCCAGCATCGCGGCTAAGACGCGGCCAGCAGCGATGTCGGAGCACAGGCCTCGCAAGACCTTTCGTCTGATCAGGTCGCCGTCTGGCCCGTGCAGTGTGTCCCAGAATCTGGCTGGCACGCCCATCGCCATTGCAGCGCGCCCCACGCCTCCTTTGCCACTGAAGCAGTCGGCCAGGTACTGGCCCGTCAGGCGTGGTCGAGCTCCCGCAAGTCGACCGGCGAGGCGCGACCCAAAATGATGTCCGCGAGCTGAGCCTCGCAGACCAGGAACACGTTTTGCTGCGCGCTGCTCAATGTCGCCCACGTGGCTGCCAGGCGTGCATGCTTCTCGTAGCGGACGACGCTGCGGTTGGTCTTCCACTGCCCGCGTTTCTGCACGTCGGCCAGCCGCCCCCACCTCCTTGCCATGTCTATCGAGGCCCCCGAGTGACGCATCTGATACGGCACCACCTTGGCCTTTACCCGCAAGTCCTGAAGGCATAGGCCGAACATCTTGCAGTACTCTGGGTACGTGAAGTTCCACAGGCACTCGGAGTGGCCCTCCTTTTTCATCTGACGCAGCACAGGGTCCAAGAAGCGAAACCAGGGCGAGTCTAACTCTAGCGACACGTCTCCCAGGCCCGTCTTGTCCCTCAGGTCTTCCTCCTCTGGAAAGAGCCTCAAGGTCCAGAACTCGCACACCCCCGGCGCTGGCGGCACCAGGCAGGCCGGCTTCAGAAGCAAAAGGCTGCTGGGGCGGGCGCATACGCTGACTGCTATCAACGTGAACACCCCCATCTGAAGGCTGCCACGGGCCTTCATGCGCCACGCCATTGCGCGCCACAACGCCAGCGCCCACGGCTTCCTCGTCCGCGGCGGCTCCAGGCGCCGCCAGGCCCGGAGGCATCTCCAGCCCCGGGGGAGGCGCCGGGCACCGTAGCGCGAGAAGTCGGGGTTGAAGTGCAGGACCCCCGCCATCAACTTCTCGGCACAGGAGAGGTGAGTCCCAGCCTGGTACAAGCCGTTCAGGTAGCTCACCAACGCCGAGTCTACCACGGGATCGTCCCTGCTCTTCATGACCTCGTCGATGTCGACCGAGGGCCAGCTCCGACGGGCAAAATCCCGCCATCCGTCCCAGGCCCTCTGGTACTCGCGCTGCGTCGGGGTCCGCACGGCCTCCCGCTCCAGGAGAGAGAAGCCCTCCTCGCCGGTGGGCATCCCGTAGTGGCGGGCACGGCGCTTCTGCGACTGCGCGAGCCTGCGCAGCCGCGCGGCGCCGGTCACGACCTCGGGCTCGGAGCTCCCGCTGTCGGAGGAGCCGACGCTCTCTCGCGCTCCCCGAGCGGGCTCCGCTGGCACAGGCACCTTCGTCAGGTCCTCCACCACCTGCTTCAGGCTCCGCGGCAGGGGACGGCTCAGCACAGCCGTCTTCAGGAGACCCGTCTCGCCCAGCTGACGCTCCCGCCGAGCTGCCGGCAGCGGCAGCGGCGCTATCGGCGGCGCCGGGACCAGCTGCCGCGCGCGCCTCACCCCCTGGCCGCGGGCTGACGGCTGCAGGCCAGGCTCCGGGCGAGACGGCGCCAGCAGCCGCGTGCCCCGGCGGCTCGCCCCAAGCCGCGCGCCTTGCCTGGCCTGCTGGGGGCTCCGAGAGCGCGCCCGCCCGGCTGGCGCTCGAGGGCGCCCAGGCAGCATCGCGGGCCGCGACGCCATCGGCCGCCCGCTCGGGCTCGGCCCAGGCGGGGACCCGCCCTGGGCCCGCCTGGGCGCCCTCGAGCTCCAACAGCTCAGCCAGAAGGGTGGACTTTGCGCCGCCAGGGTCGAATAGCCGTGAGGGAAGATCGGCACAGTTGAGCTCACTAGGTATCCAACGAATCGAACAACGAATGTTTCATCGACGAATCTGGACCAACAAGTTGAAACACGAGCTCCTTCCCCGATTGAAGCTTAGCACGACCGACATATTGTCACAGAGCAGTAATTGACGTATATGGGACCCAAAGACCGTGGTGGCGATACGGTGGATGCTGCTGACCAGGGCGCGGGCCTCCAAGGTCAAGATGCCCTCAGGGTGCTGCCAGGCCCTCGCGAAACAGGGCTCCCACAGGCCTGAGCGGAGCCCCTGGGCGGGCACCTCCGGGAAGTCCCTCACGACGTCCCACTGGCCCAGCTCCTCCTCGTCCTCGGGAAGGCCCTTGAGTTCCCATTTCCCACTCTCACTCATGCTGAAGCCAGCTGCACAGAGCGCAGCCTCTCGAGCACTGTGCGCACAGCGCCGGCGAAAGCGGGCTCGCTCAGGCACGCGCCCGACTGACTCCACCAGCTCCTGCGGCCAGAAAGCTCTTGCTAGCCCGTAGCCGTGAAGACTGGCATCAGACTGCTGCACCATCGGATTCCAAGGCAGCCACCAGTCTGACTCCAAAAAGTACATCAGGGAGCTGAAGGCGGCCAGCTCTCGCCGCGCCTCGGCCCATAGCACGGCCGCCTCCTCGTAGTGGGCTCGCACAAAGCCGTGCACTGAATTGAAAGCTGACAGGGTGCCGCGCGAGCAGAGGCCACAAAAGGTTAGATGGCCCAGCACCGCCTCCACGGCCCACCCCTTCACACGGCGGCGGGCTAGGAGGCCTCGCACGGCCTGGCGGCAACGCCAGAACCGATCACTGGTCACACGAGTGCGCAACTGGCTGCCGTCGATCTCCGTGCCAAGCGCCACTGCCATGCCCGGCACCAGCTCGTCCTTGTGCAACAGTAGGTTCAGCTCGGTGAACTCGCCCGTCAGCTGGTTCATCACGCCGCTCACGAGCTCAGAAAACAGCGAGAAGACCCCCAGGTTGTCGACGTACACGTAGTGCCTGACCTCCCGGGGCGCCCCGCCGGGCGCGAACGCGAGCGGTGGCCCATGATCTGACAAACTGGGCCCCCTGAGGAGAGCGCTGCTGCGGCGGCTCACCTCCTCGTTGGCCCGCTGGGCGAAATATAGAGACCAGCTGAAGCCCATGGGCAGGACCTGCCAGCAAGGGTAGATGGCCGTCGACGTCCGTACCCTGGTCCCCTCGACCTCGGTCACGCCGAAGGCCCCAGCCTTGACCGGCGGCAGGCAAAAGTACTGCGAGAGAGCTGAATCGATACGCATTCGATGAAAGCAGTCCTTCACGTCCGCCATGCCGATGTACACCTGCTGCGCCTGCAGCGCGGCGCGGAGGTCCTCGTAGCTGGAGAAGCCCGCGTCTGGCATGTGCACCTCGATCCTGGCGAGGCCCTCGCTGCTCAATAACTCCACTCCAGGCGGATCTCTGAAGTGGGCGTTCGTACGGCGGGCGTCGACTATGAGGCGAAGTCGGCGCCGCCCATCCTTCCACACGAAAAACATCCCAATTCTCTCTTTCGGTGTCAGAGTCCACCCCAGGATGCCAGCTGCCAGCAGCCGACGCACCAGGCCGCGGTACTCCTTGTGGTTGAACTTGAGGACCGAGTCGAAGTACGGCTCGACGTCGGTCGGCAAAGGTGACTCTCGTAACATGCGCTCTTGGCGCTCCTGCAGGAAGGTAAGGGCCTCGCCAGGCAAGAGGTCCTCAAGACGCGGGCAGTCGCTCACGTCCGTCGGCATGCTGACGAGCCCTGCACTGTAGGAGGCGACCGTCGTCGGGCCGCCGCGCCCATCATATGGCGAGCGGCCCCGCAGCAGCTCACGGAGGGCCGCCTGCGGCTCCTGCAACTTGGCGTCCGGCTGCCGGCCCCGCACGAGGCCCTCGAAGCGCGCAAGTACATCCCGCTGCATGTCATTGGCTGGGCCAGGATGCGAGTCGTATCCCGACATCCAGTTGATGGCTTCGACGATACCGTTGACCTCCGACGCAATCCGATCCTCACGACCGAACTGCCTCGCCCTGCAAGACCTGCCGCGAATTCGGCGGCCTCCGTCGCCCAGCAGCGGGAGCGGCAGGAAGCTGCGGGCCCCACGCGAGGGCGGCAAACGGCCACCGTCGTGCCCCGGCAAAAAGGGCCCGGGGGAAGGGCTGGAGCCCCCGGGCCCGGGGGCCGTCATGGCCCCGTGGAGGCGACGCCCCTGGCACGGCCGCGCCCGCGGCCGCCTCGGCCGCCACCGCGCCCCGCACCGGCTGCGTCACCTCCAGCTCCTTCTGCTCCGTCGACTGCCTCTGAAGGCGCCCCGCGTAGCGTGCCCGCCCGACCTTGCGCCTGCTCTATCTCGTGCTGCTCTTTCGCCCGCCGGTGGACGTAGCCCCTGAGCTCTGGCCCCGAGACGTCCTCCACCGAGCTCACGCCCTCGAAGAAGCGTGCGTTCGTCCAGCTCGGCTTGGTCGGGTCAGTAGGCATCCACCACTGCGGCGACACGGCGAGTCAGCACCTCCACCATCATGAGGCCGCCCATGTTCAGATCATATACCCCGCCCTGGTACAAAGCCTCCACGATCGTCCTCAGCTCGTGCACGACGCGGTCATTCTGCCCGAGCCCCTTCATGCGGATGAAGAGGTCGAGCCAGAGGCGCGGGTCGCCGCCGTGCCTCCCCATGTGCTTCAGCATGTGGAGAGCCCCAGGCGGTCCGCCCACCTTCGCGTCCGGGTAGTGCTCCTGCCTCGACTCGCCCACCACGTCCCGCCAGCGCTTGAACCGCTCGCCCTGCTCGTCGTAGTCGACCCAGAGCGTGCGGGCGTCGGCGTCTCGCTCCTCACCCCGCGGCTCCGCCAGGGGAGGCAGCGCCAGCTCGGGCGTAGCCGTGCCGCCGACGGGCTCGGCGGGCTCACCATCCTCGAGTGGCGCTGCGGCCGCTGCACGTCGGCGCTCGGGGCCCGTGGCCCGCGCATGGCCTCCGCCCAGGTCTTGCCAGACCGCGGCCTCCTCGGCCACGCGCCCAGGGGCCGACCCAGCGTCCAGCCGAGCGAGACGCACCATGCAGCCGTCTGCGGTCCTCAGCACGCCGAAAGGCTCAGGCCCGTCCTCGAAGCTCAGGCCCTCGGCGTTCGCCACGTCGACCTCCGCCCCGACCGCGACGCCGGGCCCGCCGCTGAGGGCGATCCAGGCCTGACCCGCACCAGGAGCCTCCAGCAGCTTCCCGCCCAGGCGAGCCACGGCCATGCCCAGGCGCAGCAGGCCGGCCCGCTCTGCGGCCGACAGCTTGCCGGCAGCCTCCTGCCACGAGACCCGTTGGCCGCTCATGGCCACTGTCTCCCTCGGCTCAGGCAAGGCAGTGTCTATCTCCAGCGCCGCCTGCCGGCCCCGTGTCAGCGCGTCGGCCCGCTCGTCGGGCCCCAGCGCCTCACCGAAGCGATACAGCCTCCGCATCTTCCGCGTCCCCAACGCCAACGGGAAGGCTCGACAAGGCCCCGTCTCGGGGTTCTCACAGCTCATGTCCTCAGCGTAGATGCCCCCATCTGGGGTCAGGATGATCCACCCGCCCTCCGCCACGTAGTGTAGCAGCACTCGCTCGTGGTCGACGTCATCGTCGGCGAACCGGCAGACCACGCGCTCTCCTGGGAGCGCTCTAGTCCACCACTCCCGCCCCGCGTCTCCGCGGAGCCACCCCACGAGCGTCGACATGCCTGCGGGCGATCACCTTCCCTACCAGCCAGTGCGCCAGCCCTCCGAGCAGCGCTCCAGCGAGCTTCTCGACCGCCTTCTCGCCCGTCGACACCGTCGGGCACGCCCTCGCCACGCAGGCCGGGCAGGCAGCACACGGCGGCGGCTCGCAGGCCGGGCAAGCCGCGCAGGGAGGCGGCTCGCAAGCCGGGCAAGCCACGGCCTCAGGGCAGGCCGCCGCCTCTGGGCACGCAGGGCAGGCGGGGCACGAGAGGTCAGGGCAGGCCGCCTGCCCTGGACCACCCTGGCCCCAGGTAGGCCGCGGCCTCCAGCGCCAGCACCACCCAGGCCGGCAACGCGGCCGCCCCGCCAGGGATGGCGACCCCGTCCATCGACTCTGGACCAGAGAAGCTATGTGAAGCAAGAGAGCGGAGCCAAAGGGGCGACATAACGAAAACCCCTCTTGACTTCCTTCACGTGCAAGCACAAACCATGGAGCTTCCACCTTTTCGGCGCCCCGACGCCCCAAGACGGCCCAAGAGGCCCCCAAAATCGCCCCAAGAGGGCCCACGAGGCCCCCAAGAGGGCCCCAAGATGGCCCAAGAGGGCTCGAAGACGGCCCAAGAAGCCTCCAAGACGGTCTAAGAGGGCCCCAAGAACGCCCCCAAGGGGGCCCCAGAGAGGGAACACGAAACAACATTTCGAGCCCTCGGCCCTGAGAAGCCCCCACGAGGCCCCAAGAGGCCCCTAAGAGGCCCCAAGAGGCCCCCACGAGGCCCTCAGGAGGCCCCCAAGAGTCCCCCCAGCGGCCCCAGGAGGCCCCCCAAATGCCCCCCCGAGCGCCCCAGGAGTCCCCCAAGCGGCCCCAGGAACCCCCAAAGCGCCGCATTGACACCAGGCCCTCGGGTAAACGGCAGACATGAGACTGCATGGGCCGGCGGAGTGAGCGAAGCGATTAATAAAGTGTGATCGATGAAGCTCAACGTAAGCCATGCGATATATGTTGTGCTACCTATGTGGTGCAAAAAATGCGGTGCAATGTGTGCTGTGCCCAGTATGGCGGGCAATAGATGGTGTTACTGGTGATGCTATCTAGAATGGGCGATCCACGTGGTGCCATATATGTGGCGCATCCTGTACCATGCAATCTACATGGTGCAACAGATGTGGCGCACACAAAAATGTGTTTCAACTCATGTTGTACACCAAGTGTGGCGCAATCTACGTGGTGCACTTATGTGGCGCCATTCGCCCTGCTGGACTTGTAGGTGATAACATCCCACCCACCCACCCGCAACTTCGTTTGCAAAACCCATGTGGCGGCGATTGCGATGAGTGCTTGGCGTTGGCTGGCGCATCTCTGCGGCCGCGCTGGCCCGCGCATACTCGCGCGCGCAGCGGTCAGCTAATTTGGCTCGACCGACGCGGCCGCGGTGGCGCAGACAACGGGACACTTCCCAGCGGGCACTTCAGTGCGACTCTATGACTTGGGTGGGCGCGGTATCATGGCGACGCCGACAACGGCACACCCGATTAGGAGTAGCGATGATGGTGACGGTCGTGGCGATGACGATGGCAAGACCAACGACGGCGCCGATGTTGACCACGCCCGCCGGTAACGATGCCGATGTCTTCGCGTCGGCGATGACAGTTTTTCAAAGATTTCGACATGCACGCGCGGCCGACGCGCGCGAATGGCCCGCGCGCAATGATTCGACACGGATCGCGCCCCCCCCCCCCCCCGAGCACGCGGGCAAGGGCATTCGACTAAATTCAACATGCGGCGCGAGAGGCCCGCTTGGCAGCACGTCATGAACATATTCTTAGGAGCGGGAAATGTGTCTTGCGAGCCCGCAAGACCGCGAGCGTTTTTTTGCGTTGCTTCCAAGCACCTGCGTTGCAAAACCATGTGTCCTACATGCGTTCGGGATATTTTTTGAATCCTTGCGATCGCAAGGTTTGCAAAATATCCCGGCATGCGCGCGCGACGACGCACGCTGCGCGCGCCGTCGCATCTGTTGCAAGACAGCACGCGCGCAAGGGCGCTCGAACGATCTCGACCTGCGAGCGCGAGGGTCCCGCTTGGCAGCATGCGATGAACATGTTGAACAACATATGGTATTTTATGAATTCGAAAAAGCACGGGCGCAGGCTGCGCTTGAAAATCAACGTTGGGAAACCACGTTGCTGTTTAATTTGTCGGGGCATTCGAGATTGGAACCCTTGCGAAACCTACGATCCTCTTGATATTCTGGCATGCGCGCGAGACGACGCGCGCGGGCGCATGTCGTCTCATGCGTTACAATGGGTTCTTGAAAACGGATGATATGCGATTTACGAACCCGCGCGCAGAATCGTTTCAAGGGGGGCGCGGAAGGGGCCAATGCCAGACTGTCTGCGATGGCGCGGATCCATGCGTCGGAGAGAGCGCGCCCGCAGCGACCGAACAAAGGGGGGGGGCTTGGCTTCAGTTGCCCCCCTTCCTCCGTCGAGGCCCCCTCGCTGGAAGCCACCCGCCCCCCCCCCTCCCGGAAAGCCGCCCATCCCCTTCCCCCTCGCGCAGGCGAGGCAACGCGCAAACCTCAAACCTGCGCTCGCAAGCAATGCAACGCGCGCGCCTTAAACCGGCGAGCGCAGGCATGGAAACGCACACCCCCTGAACCTGCGCGCGCAGGGAAGGCGACGCACAACCCTTAAGCCTGCGCGCGCAAGCAAGGGGGCGCGCGCGCCATAAACCTGCGCGCGCAGGCGAGGCAACGCGCAAATCATACCCTGCCATCGCGGGCAAAGCAAGGCACAAACTTCAAACATGCGCGCGCAAGGAAACACATATAGCCGCTGCGCGTCGGATGATAGCGGCGTTGCCCCGCGAGCGCGCATGCCGCAGCTGCCTGCAGGGTTATCCTTCTGCGCGGAGGGGCAGCGAAGGGGGGTGGATGGACCGATGGTTAAGGCCCGAGGAACGCAGCCGCCGGCATGGAACACCCCCCCCCCCCATGGGAAGCGGAGAGCGAGGGGGGCAGAACAACCCTAAGCCCCAAAGAGGCACTTCTGATTGGAGGGTGGGGGCGGCAACGAACAGCAGCCGACCCCGCCAGCCTAGATGGGAAGGGTTTGCGCGTCCACTGGCATTTGTTTGTGCAGGGGGTTCTTGAAATTGGGTGAGTTTTGGATCTTTTTGATTTACGAGCGCGCGCGCGTAGTATTCATTCCAAGGGGTGGCGGGGGGGCGATGTCGGCTCGGCTGGGATGGCGTGAGTGCATATTTTGGATGGACAGTGGCGCATATTCATTGGTACATTTCATCACGAGAAGATGGATCGAGAAAGCCTGGGAAGGGGGGGTCTAATTCCCGGCGGAGCCGGGTGAAATTCCGTGCCCGCCGGCTGACTGATGACTGACTGAACGTCAGAGGACAGCTCGGGAGACACATTTCAAACCGCCCGCGGGAGCAAAACCCGGCGGCGGCAACCGCAACCGCAACCGGGCGACACATTTCAAAACGCCCGCGGGAGCGCGCAACCGCAACCGCAACCGCAACCGGGCGACACATTTCAAAGCGCCCGCGGGAGCGCGCAACCGCAACCGCAACCGGGCGACACATTTCAAAGCGCCCGCGGGCGCAGGCGCAACCGCAACCGGGCGACGTATTTCAAAGCGCCCGCGGGAGCGCGCAACCGCAACCGCAACCGCAACCGGGCGACACATTTCTAAGCGCCCGCGGGAGCGCGCAACCGCAACCGCAACCGGGCGACGCATTTCAAAGCGCCCGCGGGAGCGCGCAACCGCAACCGCAAACGCAACCGGGCGACACATTTCAAAGCGACCGCGGGCGCGCAACGCAACCGCAACCGGGCGACACATTTCAAAGCGCCCGCGGGAGCGCGCAACCGCAACCGCAACCGCAACCGGGCGACACATTTCAAAGCGCCCGCGGGAGCGCGCAACCGCAACCGCAACCGGGCGACGCATTTCAAAGCGCCCGCGGGAGCGCGCAACCGCAACCGCAACCGCAACCGGGCGGCACATTTCAAAGCGCCCGCGGGCGCGCAACCGCAACCCAACCGGGCGACACATTTCAAAGCGCCCGCGGGAGCGCGCAACCGCAACCGCAACCGCAACCGGGCGACACATTTCAAAGCGCCCGCGGGAGCGCGCAACCGCAACCGCAACCGGGCGACACATTTCAAAGCGCCCGCGGGAGCGCGCAACCGCAACCGCAACCGCAACCGGGCGACACATTTCAAAGCGCCCGCGGGCGCGCAACCGCAACCGCAACCGCAACCGGGCGACACATTTCAAAGCGCCCGCGGGAGCGCGCAACCGCAACCGCAACCGCAACCGGGCGACACATTTCAAAGCGCCCGCGGGCGCGCAACCGCAACCGCAACCGCGAACCGCAACCGCAACTGGCGAACATTTCAAAGCGCCCGCGGGCGCAACTGGGCGACACATTTCAAAGCGCCCGCGGGCGCGCAACCGCAACCGTAACCGGGCGACGCATTTCAAAGCGCCCGCGGGAGCGCGCAACCGCATCCGCGACCAAGCGACAAATTTCAACCCGCCCGCGGGAGCGCGCAACCGCAACCGCAACCACAACCGGGCGACACATTTCAAAGCGCCCGCGGGCGCAACCGCAACCGCAACCGGGCGACGCATTTCAAAGCGCCCGCGGGAGGGCGCAACCGCAACCGCAACCGCAACCGGGCGACACATTTCAACCCGCCCGCGGGAGGGCGCAACCGCAACCGCAACCGGGCGACACATGTCAAAGCGCCCGCGGGAGGGCGCACCCGCAGGGTTTCAAGGGGGTCGATTGCGCGTGCACTTGTGCGTAAGCTGCCCGCGGAAGGTGTCGCGTAGGCGCCTTAATGCGGTCTGCCGCGCGAGCGGCTTGCGTGATCCACCGCGCAAGGTCGTCGCGCAATCGAGTGCAACCCCCCTTCTGATCGTTTCTCCCTGGGGGGTCAGGCGAGTGGAGTTGCCTCAGCCACATCTCGGCCACGCTCGTGGGACTGCCC